CCCCCGGGCATCGGCCGGCGCTCCCTCACGGATCTCTCCCAGGGCCTCGTCTTACGCCGCTCGACGCCTGCATTTGCTTCCCCGGACCCTGGGAACAGCCGTCTCCTCGTCCACACACCCCACACCCCCCCCTCGGTACTCCCGAATGCCCCGGCCCACACTCTTCCCTCCCCTTTTCACCAGGCTCCTTGCTGCTGCTTCCTTCCCTGTGCCCAGCAACACAACCTGAGGCGCAGCTGAAGGGAGGGCTGTGATCAGGGGGTCAGCCTCAACCTTGAGCTCCACCATGATGTGAAGGAGTTTGTAACAACTCACAAACGCAAGTTGATCAGGCCAGGTTTCTTGAGCTCAAACAAACCCAGGCCGAGTTCCCCTTATTACTTCAACAACAGAAGTCTCTCAGGTATCTCTTTGAAACATAAGCTTGCTACTCTGTATAAAATGATGTAGTGCCCAGCCAGGGAATTGGGACTCTGGTTCTCTGTAGGGTGAGAGGAGTTTACTCACTCTGCCTGATTTGACATGGTAGCATGCGCTGGTGCTGTTCTCCATAAACTCTAGGTGCTCTTGCACATACAGCCAAATTATACAGTTCATAATGTACCACATGGTGACATTTTGACTGTTGCTTAAACACTTTAATTTACAGAGTAGATTGTTCTTGTGGTGTGACAGCACTACACCAGGCAATGACTGCTAAGCGCCACAGAGAAATAGAAGGCATTACTCATCCATCCATCAAGTGTAAGTCGGGCTAAATGGAAACCAAACCAGAGTGTGAGCAGAGGTAAGATTGCCACCTGACTGGTTTCTAACTGGCCTGGCCTGTTTTAACATCATCTTACTGGTGAAGCTGCATCTGCTGGTTTATGTGCATTAGCCCTGACATGTGACAGACAGCTCACAGCTGCTGTACATACCCATTTAGTTGCTCCTGGAACTGGATTCTTTGGCAGGTGGCAACACAAAGTAGAAAATAAAGTAACCCCACTGTCTTTATTCTGTGTGGCTGTATTCACTTAGTGCTTCACAAGATCTGTCTTGATTTGCTACTGATTTCCTGACAGTCTCAGCCACAAGAAAATAGGAAGGGGAAGAAAGAATAATGGTATGCAGGAAAAAAACCCATAATTGTCAGCTCTAAGAGCATGAATGGTGCAAGTGAGAGTAATAATCAAAAATAAAGCTGCTGTGGATTTATGGCCATCTGTAAATTTAAGCTATGTTAGATGCTTTTTAAAAAATACTAAAGCTAGTCCTGCCAGAGTTAAAAACAAGACGGGTGTGTGTGTGTGTGTGTGTGAATGATTGTGCATATTTTAATGTTTGTAGAATGTTTTAGAAATTAAAACCAGTATGAAACTGATGTATTTGTAACATTGTGAAGTAAGGAGATATCTTTTCCATATAAATGATTAATTTTTCTATGGCAGTTGCTAAACATGCATAGACATTTCAGCATGTTTTCTGTGCTGAAAGCACTAGGTGGAAAACATTAAAAACTCCTTGTTCTTTCTGAAAATTAATTAAAACAATTGATCAACTGTTGGTAACAAAGCTTAAGAAGACCCTCGGAAGGCACTGTCAGCTGCACATAACTGTCACATCAGACTTAAATTAAAAAATTCAACCTGGAAGTGAAATCCTTGGATAGTTACAAGGAAAGCTACAACCATATTTCTCACTTGGGAAAGCCTTCTTATTATAATAATTTCCTTTGTAGTAGAAACTGTGACACAAAATCCAACTGAAGTAAGGCACTTTTTCAAATGCAGAATCAAACACCTTTAGACTCTCATCTGGGCCTAAAAGCACCTCCTTACTTGATTATCCATAGGAATTTAGAGTAAAGTACCTGACCAACACTAATTATTCCATAGTAAAGGTCATTCATTTTTAGCAGTGATGACAAAGAGCATATTTAGACCAGGCATTCCTGAGTAACTTCCTGGTTGGGTATTTTCACACCAAAATAAAGGGATTTAAAAAAAAAAAAAAACAACCAAAAACCACAAAAAAACTTATTTTTGTCTATCTTCAGAAGAGATAAAGTTTTCCACTATCTATTCAAATGCTTCTATAATCTTAAATAACTGGGAAACAATTCAAAGTCTGCATTGATCTTGTTGCAGGTTGTTTAATACCATTAACATTTTTTCAGAACCTTTTATTCATTTGTAAAGTGTTGAAGTAGATGTAATTTTACTAACAACATTTAGGAAAAGGAGCACTCAAGCTACAGAAAGGCTTTTGCCATCAGAGAAGTAGCTCAGCTCTTGCTGAAAGAAATTTTTGAATCCTGTTCCTTCTTTTTTTTTTTTTTTTTTTTTTTTTCAGGAAATAGCAATATGCAAAGATAACAAGGTTACAAATGTATAGGAGGTGGGTTATTGCCAAAACTTCGGAGACTCCAAGGAACTGAGGAAGAGAGGTGCAAACTGGAGCAGCTTACCCTACACAGTTTCACCCAGCCTGCTAGCAAGATAAATCAAAGGTGGGTTTTCCCATCTTCTAGTAAAACTTCCTTTTCTTGCTAGCAGTTAATGTGATAGTTAGAGTCAAAGGTTCAGAGGCCAAGATTTTTTGTAAGACAGGAGAAGTTTCTACAGCTGCAAATGAGCCTTAAGTTTTATAATCTCTTTAAGAAAAAAAAAGAAGGTGACAGAGAAAGATGTATTATATATCCAAGTTATTTAAAAGTCATACTGTCAAGTTCTAGAAACTACCAGG